TCTCTCTATAACTTTTCCACGCGTTTTAAAATAATTTATTTTAAAATAATAAATAATAACGATGTAAAGACTCTTAAATGTAAACGTAAATAAACAAACAAATAAACGGCGAAAGAAGAGTCAGTAGATTAAAAAAAACATTTAATTAGTTAAAATTATTAGGCGACGATACATGCACAAATACGGAACGGCGCATATAAATGTGTAAATGTATAAACATGTATAAAAATATATATAACAAGTTTCGGCTACGAGATTGAGCCCTCTTCAGATATAAAGCGCGAAAAAATAGACGATAAGTAAAAAATAGGTAAAAAACAATTCATGTCGCAATTAACATTAAACGTAAAGAAGTGAAATTCAGATGGATCTCAAAAGTACGATTGAGCAATCAAGGTGTCTATTGTCCAAGCCAGATCGCTAGACAAGACCGAAAAATAACTTATAAAATAATATTTATTATTGTACTTACAATAAGTTAAAAAGATCCATACATGCTCTATAAATACATATTTTATTTTTGAAACCGTTCTTATGATTACTTTATGCTTATGAACACTTGTATTTCATTGAACATTTATTAACATACATGCAATAAATATATTTACAGAGGCATTATGTCTGAAATTGGAGGAAGATGCCAGATTAAACGCGGATGCACGTTCGTGCACTGGTTCGCTGGCTTCGCATCCGCGCAGCCGAGATATAAAGATATCTAACTTTTCTATTACTTTCCATGGCTGTGAACTGCTGCAAGATACCATGTTGGAATTAAATTGCGGTAGACGTTATGGATTGTTAGGTCTAAATGGCTCCGGGAAGTCTACATTGTTGGCGGTGTTAGGAAACCGCGAAGTTCCTATTCCGGAGCAAATAGATATTTTTCATTTGACTAGAGAAATGCCTGCAAGCAATAAGACAGCTCTGGAATGTGTGATGGAGGTTGACGAGGAGCGCGTGAGATTAGAGAAGCTTGCTGAAGAATTAGTAGACTGCGATGAGGAGGATGCTCAGGTTTGTTTACAAAATATTTGTCTTCATGAAACATCTTCATGAAATAGGATGTTGACTTTTACTTACAAATTTACTTTACGTACACACAGGAACAACTCATGGATGTATATGAGAGATTAGAAGACATGGCAGCCGACACGGCTGAAGCTCGTGCTGCCCATATTTTACATGGTTTGGGTTTTACTGCAAAAATGCAAAAAACTCCTACCAAAGACTTCTCAGGAGGTTGGCGAATGCGTATAGCTCTTGCTAGGTATGCAAAAATTTTAAATATACATAAAAGGAAAATACTATAAAAATTTCTATTATTATATAAAACATTTCTTTTTGCATTTCTTTTACAGAGCACTGTATGTAAAACCACATTTGTTGTTGCTCGACGAACCAACCAATCATCTCGATCTCGATGCTTGCGTATGGTTAGAAGAAGAACTCAAAACTTATAAACGAATTCTCGTTATAATCTCACATTCTCAAGATTTCCTCAATGGCATTTGCACCAATATCATCCACGTCAATAAGAGACAATTGAAATATTACACCGGTAATTACGAGGCGTTCGTGAAAACAAGGTGAGTTGCAAAAGATATCGCTCTGATAAATCATTTCTTAAAATATCGTATTATTACTTTATATGTTTTCTTTCTTTTCGTTTTTAGAATGGAATTACTTGAAAATCAAGCGAAACAATATAACTGGGAACAAGATCAGATTGCACATATGAAAAACTATATCGCGCGATTTGGTCACGGCTCGGCAAAATTAGCTAGACAAGCACAATCGAAAGAAAAAACTTTAGCGAAAATGGTAGCGCAAGGTCTGACCGAAAAAGTTGTTAATGATAAAGTGCTAAACTTCTATTTTCCTTCGTGCGGAACAATTCCACCACCGGTTATTATGGTTCAGAACGTTAGTTTCCGTTACAACGAAGATGCGCCTTGGATTTACAAGAATCTAGAATTCGGAATTGATTTGGATACCAGAATTGCATTGGTTGGGCCAAATGGAGCAGGAAAGAGTACCCTGCTGAAGCTGTTGTATGGTGATGTACGTTGAGAATGTATATATTCTATTAGTAAACGAGAACTCAATATAATTTTGTTAACAAGATAATTTCGCGTTACAGTTAGTACCGACAAGCGGAATGATTCGTAAAAACAGTCATCTCCGAATCAGTAGATATCACCAACATTTGCATGAGTTATTGGATTTAGATATATCGCCTCTCGATTATATGATGAAGGCTTTCCCCGAGGTGAAAGAGCGTGAAGAAATGAGAAAAATTATTGGCCGCTATGGTCTAACTGGGCGTCAACAAGTACGTAATTTATAAAATAATGATATTTAAGAACGATGAATAATTGGATACGCTCGTATTTAGATTTGTCCTATTCGTCAATTGTCCGATGGTCAACGTTGTCGGGTTGTGTTTGCCTGGTTGGCTTGGCAAGTGCCTCATCTGTTGCTGCTCGATGAGCCTACCAATCACTTGGACATGGAAACAATCGATGCCCTCGCTGACGCCATCAACGACTTCGATGGCGGCATGGTTCTCGTATCGCACGACTTCAGACTGATTAATCAGGTACATGCATTTCCGTATGGCTTTGTTTTAATTCAAGAAAATTATAAGTTTTGTGGACGCATTTTATATACTCGATGTTTAGGTCGCTGAAGAAATCTGGGTGTGCGAGAATGGGGCGGTCACAAAATGGAGTGGCAACATTTTGGATTATAAGGAGCACCTTAAAGACAAGGTTTTATCCGACAACCAAAAGAGGCAGAAGGACTTGGCAAATCGGGGAAAATAATGGAGGCAGCGCTGCGATTTTGATTCACTTCTTTCTTTCCAGTGCACTGTACCTCCACATTTATAGGAATCTTTTTTTTTTTTTCGGAAAATTATAACATGTTAATCGGCACTATGTACGCTGTTCTATAGCGCATCAGTAATCGATTACATACTTAGTTAATTTATTGAAGTATTAGAGAAGGCCGAAATTAATCCTTGACAACCCGCAGGTTGTTGTGGCGCATTACTACAGTAGGAATCTAGAAATTTGAGAATTCGTGCATATTACAGATCAAATTTAAATAAATTATCGACAAGTTCTATTTATAATCATAAGTATATAGAAAAAGAGAGGACGAAAGAACCCAGTGATTTGTTTTTGACGATCAACTTCATTATAAATTCTTACTAATCTAAAACAATTTGATTATCTTCAAGAATATAAAATATTGTAACGTGTACAAACATATGCAGGTACGATCGATTATATAGTCCCAAAATACATTTTTATCCATGTACGTATATAAATAACTATGATAATGTAACATGGAAGACGTCATTTTCGTATATCTCTGTGTATTGTAAAATGTCGAAAGATGTCTTGGCGAATTTTCACCGCGTTTAAAAACGATTATTAAAATATATCCTTCACGATACTTTCGACGTGTGCTGTATATATACCTAATATATATTTATATGCATTCTTTTTATAATAACGATAATTGACAAAATACCGACGAGTTCCCCCCCCCCCATCAGTAATCTCGAACTTTGTTCGTTTTTGTGCCTTGAGATCAGCGATGATCCCATTTTCGCATAATTGCTATCTGATGCATGGTTCGAATTTACTAAACGCTATATTTACAAATCTAGCGGCCATATTATGTACAGCTTTCGTTGCGATTGTGTGACGAAAACAAAATTACGAGAAGCTAATCCGACGATTACAAATACTGTGACGACAGAGATTTGATTTCATCGCGAGATCAATCTACGTATACTCAAACTGGCGTAGAGGCTGGGATAGAGCAAGCTACTTCCTGGGCCAACGCTGCGTTTCTCAGCACCAATAAATGAGTATCCATGTCGTTCAGGGCTTGATCAATGAATGCCAGTTTTCTGGCTTGGCTCTTAGGCACGCCGTGTTTGGTCACCAATGCTAAATGGGTCACAGCTAATACTAGAGCTGCCACTCTAGCTTCCAATAATCTAGCGTCTAAAGGAGGATACAAACTGCGAACAACGTCATCTACACGAGGCGGTATGCGTCGGGCAACCTACGAATAAGAATAAGAACTGGTAAGAAGAATATAACACAATAATAATGTACAATAATCGCACTTACATCCACTATCTCCAGTGGAACAGTATTACTGTTGACAGTTCCAGCGATAGTAGTAAGACTAGCTGCTAAAGAATGACAAGATCGAAGCACTGCTATACAAGGTGGAGCTAAACCAGTGGCATCGTCAACCCATCTAGAACGCAAAAGTATCATCTTTCTAAGTTGCATAGTGAGAGTTTATTAAACTCTCACAAAGTTAATGACAGGAAGATGAATAACGCGAATGTTGCATTTTCATTAAATTTATTAAATTTTTTAATTAAATTTTTCATAACAGAGATATGCAGATACGAGATATCTGTAAACTGATCATAGATAAAAGTTACATGCAACGTTATTTACTATTTTTATTATTTCTTCGTCGTTATGAAGAATTAATGGAAATAGCAGATAACGAAATAATGAAATTACTGTAGCCAAAAAGCAGTTAACAAAATAATGAAAAAAAATACCTGTAGATATTTTGTATCTACAGGTGAATTAAAGGTAAAAGTGTCATATCGCATACAACATTATCTACTATTTTTATTAATTCTCCATTGTTCTCCTTTTACCTTTCAGCACCCGCCAACCACTCTTCACTTTCCCACACATCTAATCCCAAACCAGTGATGTTCTCTCCTTCGAGCAAATCAGAGCTCAGCTCCGCGGAATCCTTTTGATTCTGGAAACAATGAAGATCATTATATTTCTTGCCTAGCATCTCTGTCTCTTCTGTTACTAGACTCACGTAATAACAGCGTTGTCTACGACAGATAACCAGAAGCACCAGAAGAGCGCCGAGGAAGACAGCGGCGAGTGCACCCAAGGCGACCGCCACCACTGTTTCCATACCAGTGGCAGTAGTCGGTGGTCCAGCGTTGCTCATTGATATTGGTGAACTCATGGTCATACGGAATGGATTAAAAGATGACTGCCAATTTGACAAACCGAAGCGTCACGACGAGCACCCGGGTGGAGAGACAGGATCAACCGGATTTACATTGGCATCTAAAGCAAAATGTCAACAATCGCACAGTGATCGCGTCGTCATCCACTCTCTCAATGATGGGCGGTGGGAGGCGGCGACTGTCACGAGTCTTAAGCCCCGTTCACTGTACCAGATTAGCTACGCGACTCTGTTAAGAATTTAAAGTGACTTCAATCAAACTCCGATTAACCCTATTCGGTATCTTTTAACAACAGTGTTGTATCGTTAAATTGTCATTGCGCAAGTTCTTTTATCATATACGAAACATGCAAAACGACAATGTACTGATACTGGCATTAAGAATTATAGGATAGGAGCCATGATTGGTGAAGCACAATATCTGTAATATCAGTAACATAATGTTAAAACGTAATGTTGGAAGTGTAAAAGTTACTTGTGAATACGGTTTTTTTCTTAATACATGGAAAAAAAATTAGAGACAAATTATATAATACGTTACGCACGTAGCGTGGTAACCCTGCACTCGGAGATGAATTAATTCAGCCGATCTCGTAGTCATATGTTTCCCGTTGTCGCGCGACAGCGACAGCTCGCCGTGCTGTCAAGTTCCATTTCGACCGGTGGTCGCGCGCGCTTTCATTTCTCCGAGGTGATACGTCACTCGAGCGCGCTTATCAGGCTTATCTCATTCTCATCCAGTCCGACGCCCCTCAGCTCGACTTACTCGACGAACAGCTGAGTTTTTCAGGTTCCCGTGCTTATCGCCAGATTTGCACATCTTTATCGGTCCGCTCAACGTAACCCTATCTCGTGCCATCATACCGTCTGTCTCGGCCACGCAAGCGGGTTCCAAGGAACATTGCAGCGGTCAATTCCACGTGGACGCCCGCAATGCGACTCGAGGGTCGCGCAACTTGACGCTGAGAGGACGGGGACTGGGTAGTTGGAGCAAGAATTCGACCTGTAAACATCGCGTGGAAACGGGCTGAGTCGTTGAGGTGAGGTATCTGATTTACACCGAGCGGAGAAAATAGCGTGTCTTTGGCAGTATCTGTTTGCAAGTAACACTGGGCTACATGGTAAGGATGAACAGAAAGACCAACAGTGCGACGGCCAGATTGAGACAGGACTATCTGCGCCTTAAAAGAGATCCAGTGCCGTATGTTCTTGCGGAGCCAGTGCCTTCGAATATCCTGGAATGGTAAGTCTAACCTAGTTAAACGAGCTATCAAGTAAACACCGACATCAAATGTCATCCAAGAGTGTTTTCCATTTAGTAACTCAAATCAATATAAATATCATACTATTTTGACAGTTCAGTAAGTAACAAAAATAGAACGACATTTGTATCGATTTGTTTACTTTACATTCACAATAATATAAATATAATAATGAATTTTCACTCGCACTACATTGGATTAGTATATATATTGAAGGCTACTTTATGTATGATATCTAAATGCATTGGCAAATGGATTATAATATAATCAACATTAACAATGAAATAATATGTGTATATTCTATATTAACTAACTTGACAGTAATTTTTTATTGAATGCCCATTCTTTTTACATTCTGACAAGTGAGATTCAACTGAGTTTTTACCTATAATCTGCACAAGATCGAGATCGTGTGCTTTAGTGAGTTTCATAAATTCACTTTAAAAAGATTATAAACCTATGTTGTCATGTGATAACTTTTTAAAGTAAGCAAATAATGACGTCATTAGTCTGAGTATGAAATACAATCAGTTCACTTCAAACTTAGTTTCACTTGTGTAAATGAAAAACAACTAATTATTATTATTGGATATTTAATCATTTAAAACGTTTCTACATTTAACTTTGTCAATTTCATATATCGCTTTTATGTATGCACTAATCTAGCGTAATGCAAGCGAATGAATTTGCTATAACATGTTGTACATCAGTTAATACATAACAGTTAGTACATAATTGTTGTGAAATTATAACATTGAAATTATAGCATTTCGCAGAAAAAGCAGCTTCGCAATTTATGTATAAGATTCTTTAATATGATTTATTTGGATCCACTGAGGAAGAATAAGATCAATCGTATTAATAAATACAATCACTGCAAAGCTGTTTTTCTACTGAACACTACGATTAAATGTTATGTTACTGTCAGTTAGTATTTACTAACTAATCGTTAATCAGCTGTTTACGAATGATTTAATGTATGTCCTGCTTGTTTCAGGCATTATGTAGTCATAGGACCGGAAAAAACACCATACGAGGGTGGATTTTATCATGGAAAACTCATATTTCCAGGAGAGTTTCCATTCCAACCTCCTAGCATTTACATGACCACTCCTAACGGCCGATTTAAAGTCAATACGAGATTGTGTCTGTCCATTTCCGACTTTCATCCAGATACATGGAATCCAGCGTGGAGCGTATCTACTATTCTTACTGGCTTACTCAGCTTTATGGTGCATTCCTTGAAATATTTCGACAGTATAATTTTGAAAAGATATTTAATTAAAGTTTTGTGTTTACAGATTGAAAAGAGTCCCACGCTCGGCAGTATTAATACAACAGATTATGAGAAGAGACAGCTGGCTGCACAAAGTTTAGAATATAATTTGAGGGACAAGATGTTTTGCGAACTCTTTCCAGAAACTGTCGAGGTAATGAAGCTGTATTAATAACAGCATATTATAACAATTTAGAAAACTCTTAATTTGACATAATATTATTGTTGATCGATTAGACGATCAGAACGGAACTGGAACGTCGGAAAGAACTTGAGAAACAAGCGAGGCATCAATCCACTGCGTCTGAAGTCTCTTCGTTAATACGAGATCAGTTCCAGAGAGATCAGAGCCCACTGCACAGCGCACTGGCAAATCTCGTTGTCATCATTGGTTTCGCGGCGTTTGCGTACACGGTGAATTATGTGCTGAAGAGCATAGCTATGGAATAAGTCCGAATCAGAATACTATGTATTTCAAGCTACATGAGACAAAGGGAGAGAGAGAGAGAGAGAGAGAGAGAGAGAGAGAGAGAGAGAGAGAGCTGTAACAATCACCTACAATGACCTACATACATCCGGGAAAGAAGAGGATTATATGAAGAAAGAAGATATAGGTTATATTTGCCTATCGATCAATCTTTCAAATTCGTGCAGACCGCGTGGAACCGAGCTCCATTCGGTTCCACGCGGCTTGGAACCTTTGCCAGTAAAACTGTGGATAGTTTCATAGATTTTTATATCAAGGATTCATTGTAAGATACAAGCTGTATTATACTTGCAAATTCTACGCGCTCTAGCAATTAACGAATAATCTCTCAATTCGCATAAGACATATGCGCAAGACGGAACATATAATCGCAGTGGCTTCCCTGCCATTTTTCTTATCGGATTTGCTCTCTTCTGACTTATAAACATAAGTATGAGGAACCAAGTTTCTTCTTTGCGGTGCTGATATTCTTCCTTTTATTGAATTTTCTACACTTTTACGATTGATTATATTCAAATGCATCCAAAGAAGTGTGTGTGTATGTGTGCGTGTGTGTGTGTGTGTGTGTGTGTATTTGTGTGCGTGTGCGCGCGTGTATTACAACACATTAGTCTCGTTTACAGAGAATCTCTCGGATAGAAATGCACAAATTAATTGCACTTCGCAATGTGCCAATAAAACTAAATCCAAAATTAAAATGCAATTTCGATAAATCAGATTATGCTTCGCAGCCTGACTCATTCTATTCATGGAATGAGTCTACATTTTGTAAATATGTGATAAGGCCGAAGGCGTTATTGCGTTCAAGAGCGTGCTATTAACATTATTGTTTTATTTTTATTAGACATAGAAACAAGAATAAAATGATGCAATGGCATGATAGCGCGCTCCCTGAACGCAACCAGAGATAAAATAGGTATCTCTACGCCATTAATGTAAAAAAGCGAATATAGCTATATCCATCATGTCATCGGTGATTATTTCAACTTCCTTAAAAACTTTACGATTGATGTGTTTCTCTGTTTAGGCATTAAAATGGCTCGTAGTATTATTTCTTCGTGATTTTCTTCCATTTGAATAACATTTCTTCCTTAATTGACATGAAAAGAAACTTTTATATTTCAAGTAAATTTTCACTCTTCCATGACTTTTATCGTGTAATATTGAAAATATAATATTGTGTAATTTCTAACTAAAAAAAATTAAACTGAACTATAATTCGAATATATTAAAAGTAGATTAGATAATTCTTTTTTCTTTTTTTTATACTACATCGATAATCTCTACCAACAATTTGTTAAATGGTAAGATAGTTGTTTAATATATATGATATATTGAAATGTGTATGTTTTTTATCGGAACTTACTTCATTATCTATATCTTTATTGGTTAATTTCTACGGGCCATGGATTTTCGATTTTATTGAATATTCTTTCAAAAGATAAGACCATTTCAATTATGCTTATATATATTCTATTCTACCATCATATATGTAAACATACGCGTATCGTAATTATTAAATAATTACGGCGAAATGTAAATATCAATTATGTTATTATTACGGTAAGCGTGTGGAATATAGTTTACTTACCTGAGAAATATCATGCATTCCGAGACTGTCTTATCGAATCAAATTAACCAATATCCATTCAATCCTTTATTGAAAAAATTCCATTACATATCGTAATTAGAAACTGTATGCAATACATTTCAGAGAATTGCGCAAAGATGTGGATTAAGCGTTGAAATTTTAGACAAGTGGTATCAGTTTCAGAGCAAGTTGATTTTTTTTGCAACTAACAAACGAGTCTATTATTAATCGACGAAGACATACAATTCCGAAAGTAAAATTGCCTGAACGCACCGATTAGTTGCGGTTTGCCGCTCAAAGAGACTCCTGTTACAAAGAAATTTCGCAAACGAGAGGAAGCTCGTCTACGACTTATCGTCGGAATACGAATGAAGAGACAGCGAGCATTCTCTCGTGGTTTACCGTTCCGGTAAACTGTTAGAATCCCAACGCTGAATGCCTCGTTGTCCGGGTGCGCTCGGGAGGAAGGATACGTCCTGTGAACCGAGCCCGCACGATCTTGTCGAATATCGTGTTTATGCCTCCTTACACCGGGCCGCAGATAAATCCGAGGCTTTCACGACGCTCCTCTCCGCGTTAGTGACTGTTTATTAACTCTTTCAGAGTCCCTTCCCTGACTGTGTATGTTAACTTTTCGTTTTAGCTTCCGTTTAAACTGCCTACGTCTTCCCCGCGATTTATCTATATACGTTTCGTGTCAAACTTTATTAGTAAACTTCACGGTTCTAATATCTTAGAAATATGAGGCAATTGTTTTAAATTGAGTGTGATGCAGCGCAATAACTTTTCAAATAATTTTTCTTAGATACTCTTTTTACTGTAAAAGAATTTACTAAATCTTGATACGTACTTCTTGGAACAATAAGTAATTAAGTTACTAAGTAAATATTTACTTGTAACAAATAAATATTTACTCAACAAAAAAAATAGTTAAATTAATGGTTTTGGTATCAAATAAATATACGTTTACATCTAGCGAATATTTACTTAGAACTTAAACAAATATTTTTTTAATTAAATTTATGTTTTCAGTGTATAGATCACGCATCTTTAATTTTTATGTGTTTATTATCTTATAATTTTTAAATATTTTATTAAACATTTAATTATTAAATTATTTAAATATTTTCTAAAATATAATTTTTAGATATAATCACATATTTATATTATTTATATTATTAATTTATTGATTAAATTTTATTATATCTTAATACCCCGTTTTAATATCTGTCGACGCTCAGCTCCGCTTTTATCTGGCAGCCGATTCATCTTTCTTACGCCAGCGGTGAACCGGCCGGCACATGTCGCGAACGTGATGTTATTTTGTATCCCATCGTCGCGTCCGTATGATCCGCTTTAATCCGTGAAAACATCCCGCAAAAGAAGCAAACAGCAATTTATTCGACCGCATAATAACAAGGAAGTCGGCCAGCCGCTTCACCATCGAGAAGTCGCATCTGTAATCTCTACTCTCAGCTGGAACACCCTTCCGCGTCAGTAACGCGTCCGCCCCCTTGACGTGTAAATCATTGACAGAGGCGCCAGGACACTCTCGGTTTCGCTTCGAATCCTGCGTAAATAAGATGCACATGTCCGCGGCAGGATATTGGACACGTATAACATATGTATATCTGTGATACGCGTTTATTAAGATCGCTTTTGGCGGTCGTTTCCACAGTTGAGAAAATGGACAGCCGAAGTTATTGAACTAAGGGAGACAGATGCGACGGTTATCGCATTTTCCCTGTAAATTTATGTATCTCAAAATAGAATGCGCTCTTCGAAGTGATTTCCAGTATAAAACATATATGTTTTATAGGAGAAATTAATTAAGAAAAATACCGAAATACTCCGCTCGTATCAAACTTCTCGACGTTTTTGTCGTTTCGTAAAATTAATTCTCTGTTAGTGATTTGAAATTTTCATCCTTCGTTCACAACCTGTGTTTTTAAACTTTAGTACAAATTTTTACATTGCTATGGATTGCATAAAAATCTGAAAAAAAAAATTGCAAATACAAAACAAATAATTTGACTTATAATGATTTTATGTAGATAAATGATTATATTTTCCTGCAATTTTAGATCAATAACTTTTAAATGAATAAATTAATCCAAATAAACTTTTGCACGAATATTTATTACTTTTTTATCAATATATGTTTAAAATTTGATTTAATTCTTAATGCTATTTTCCAATCAAATAAATATTACAAAGTGCGATTTTACGTAAAAAAAAAAAAATCAAGACTAACAAAAAAATTAATTAACTTTTAAACCAATAAGAGAATTGTACTCAAATTTTATACACAGATATTCAGGCGTAATAGAATAATTTATGAAATTTGTATAGTTTTAACAACGTTTTGTAAACCCAAACATTCTTAAAGTTTACACTGAAAAAAAAGTCTGGTAATAGCTACCAAATGTTGAGTGAAATAATTTCAATCAAATGTCCGGTTAATATAACAAAAAAAATTTTACTTTTAAATATTTAGAAATAAGTATCAAAAACATATAATATAATATAAGCAAGTGTTTGATCATAATTACTAAATATTTAGAAAAATAAAATTATTTACATTAACTAAAATACTTAATTAAAATTATTTCACTCAATATATTTAGTAGCTACTACCAAACTTTCTTCTCAGTGCAACATTGCTGGTAGAGGATTAATTTGCAGCCGACAGAATCTTGTCGAATCAAAGTGCATGCGTCTCGAAGTGTTTACCAAATTTACATCTCTGCTAAAATCGCTATCGATAACCTGACGACTTCCAGTTCGGCCGTAGCGTCCGTTTGATACCGGAAACAAGGAAAATGAGGACTCTCCCGCGAGGGTGATTTAGGGTGTCGTCAATCGGGTCGGAATGGTTCGTGGAATCATTTTACGCTCTCGGTCCCCAGTGGGTGGGACAAGATGCGATTTCAACAGGAAAGAAAAAAAAAGGAGAAAGAGAGAGAGAGAGAGAGAGAGAGAGAAGGGAACGGGAACACGACCATTGAAAACCGTCTCCGGGATAATTAACTGTAGGGACGACCTCATTACGCGGCTTAATGAGCTGCCAGCGGCCGCGTCGTGTCCATATCGCGGTGCTGATACTTTTTCGAGTTTCGGGAGAACGGAGTGGAACGTCACAGTAAAAATTGCTTGTACCGCGGCAATGATTTATCATGACTAAGGGCTGGCGCGACCTGATTTGTCAATTTAACAAGCCGCGCCTTGTCGCGTCTTGAAAAACGAGACAATTAGTCCAGAAAAATAAATAACAATTATAAATTTTTACGAGACATTGTGCACTTAATCTCGTATATAAAATGAGTAATAACTTTTTATGCCAAACGAGTTTTATTTATATCCCCAGCAAATATTGCGCCAATTAACTAATAGTAACATATATGTTATATAATTTTCCATTCAACAAAATAACTGTAATATAACACATGTTGTATCGCAAGAGTTGTATATTTTTGAGTAGGAAATTTTAATTAACACAGTTATGTTACTACATATTAGTTGGTATTTACTGAGATCTAAATTTATTACTTATGAATTACAAATTCGCCGGACACGTATTCGGGTGAAAATATCTATTTAAACAACTAATATATCATGTCATATTGCTAAAAGGAATGGCACAAGATATCTTATTTTCTTTTTCCCAAAGATATTAACAAAAAAATTATGTATCATGTAAAAGTATATTAAGTATATGACATTTTCTACATGATATATTTAAATATCATGGAGAAAAACATAACAGCACGATAATGATCTTAGATTTTTGTCAACACTACACTGGAAAAAATGTCTGATTATAGCTACCAAATGTTGAGTAAAATAATTTCAACCAAATGTGTTGTGTTCAAGTAATATAATTAAACATAATTTTACATTCACACAAATATTTAGTAAATATTAGGAAATGATATTACCAACGATAAATACAAATAATAAATATTTATAAAGGTAAAATTATGTTTGATCATATTACCTAAACATTTGGTTGAAATTATTGGACTCTAATTTTTTTGGAGCAATGATAAAACTAATAGTTATATATTCATTTATTCTATTTTATATTTTATACACATTACATGTATATATCATTATGCTCTGTACGAATCCTATATATATCATAGAACATTATGTATAATATATTTTTTATTTTTTTAATAAAGAAACTTTAGAGGATAATTCGCTTAAAACACAAGCATCAGCTTTCCGCAGAGAAATTTTTCACCTTTCTATTTCCATCCGCGGCAATGTCTCTCAATCCACGTTCATCGCGAACTTGTACTGGAATTAGCACAATGATTCTCCAAGTACCTAATCACCTGATCCATCGTAGAAAAGAGAAAGAGAATTCAGCCATAGAATTTAGGTTTATTACCGGCGATAAAACTGAATAATGCGCGCTATCGAGAGAATTCAGTTCTATTCAGATATAAATACGTATACATACTGAGGAACGTATGCAAGGGGAATGCACGCAACCGCGTGGCAGCCACTAACGACAGGCGATTCATCAT